AAAATTTCCCGAAAAAAAAAAAAAAAAAGCCTTTTTTTTTTTTTTTTTTTTTTTTTTTTTTGCCCTTTTTCACGTTTAACCTAGAATTCTGACCTTTTTAGGACTCTTTTAGCGCTAGACTCTTGTGGTATAAATATGAGTCTCCTCGTTCAGTATTATTAAAACCAATTGTTGTAATTCTCTCCTTTAATTGATGTAATAAAATATCATCGTTCCTCTGCCAGTTTATTTCTTTACTTTAATCTTGTTCATGTTATTTTTGAGATCTTGTATTTATACTTCAAATTGGTGTCCATTAAATCTCAATTCTTGCGCTTCGTTTCCACCCGGTCCTAACAAGTGGTATCAGAGCGGGGTTATTGGTGGATTCTGGCTTGAAACTGATCGAAAATTGGTCTAAAAATTACCAGAAAATCAGAAAATGAATCTGTCCAGTTTTTCGATTTTTTGTCAGATTTGTTTTTGTTTTTTCTGGTCAAACCAAAAAGAGTTTGGAGAAACTAACATCACTAGTGTACTTAGCAGGCAGAGACGGTCCAGAAAGGGTCACAGGTCGCCGACGTGTTTCCGGCCTATCGCCGACGGTGGGAACTCCGACAAGAGAGTGGTGGCACGTGCGGTGGTTTTCGACGATGGTGTTTTCAGGCAGTTTTCTCCAGACGACGAGATGGACCTTGTGGTGGTATTCAATTTCAGTTTTGGGCAAAATTGTGGTTCTGGACTGTTTTGCCCCTTGCATGTTTGGAAGTTTTCAGTTTTGGGTGTTGCAAGTCCAGGTTCTTCGTGATTTAGTTGAGATTTTTCAAGGATGGATTTATTGAAGTATGAAATTCCGCTATTGGATCGCAATACAAGATTTTCGCTGTGGCAAGTAAAGGTGAGAGCTGTGTTGACGCAGATGAATCTTGATGATGCTTTGCTGGGTTTTGATAGGATGCCAGCAAATTTGTCTATGGAGGAGAAACAATGGAAGGATCGAAAGGCTTTAGCGCAAATCCAACTTCATTTATCCAACAATTTGCTGTAAGATGTCTTGTAGGAGAAGACAGCGGCTGCTTTATGGCTCAATCTAGAGCAGTTGTGCATAACAAAGAGTCTGACAAGCAAATTGACTCTAAAGCAGAGGTTGTATTCTCATCGCATGGCGGAAGGAGGGTCATTGCAGGACCACCTTGTTGTGTTCAAGGAGATCGTTACAGATTTGGAGACGTTGGAGGTAAAATATGATGAAGAGGATCTAGCCTTGGTCCTGTTGTATTCGCTACCCAATTCTTTTTCGTCATTTCGTGATACTATTCTGTATAGTTATGACACGTTATCCATTGAAGAGGTATACAACGCCCTGTTCATAAAGGAGAAGATGGAGCTTTTGGTTGGAGATCCTACATCTAGGAGTGGGGATGCTCTTGTTACTCATGGTAATCGACGGAGGGGTAGATCGAAGGTGAGGTACAACAATGTGTATTGTTATTACTGTAAGAGGAAAAGACACATCAAGAAAGATTGCGACAAGTTACAGGGTAAAGGTGATTTACATGCAAATCATGCGAGGCAATCAGGTAATTCGAACGAGACTAATATTGCTGAATATTTTTGTGATGATGGAGATGTGATGTTGGCTGTATCTGATGGGGAATCCAAACCTGAGGAGTGGATTCTGGATTCTGCTTGTTCGTATCATATGTGTCCCAATAGGGCTTTATTTCAAACATATGAGACGGTGAAGCAAGATGAAGTTGTCATGGGAAACAACCAATCTTACCGGGTTGCAGGAATCAGTCGGGTCAGATTGCGGCTACAGGATGGAACAGTAAGGACACTTGATCAGGTTCGCCATGTTCCAGACTTGACAAAGAATCTCATATCATTGAGTACCTTGGATGAAAAAGGGTACAAATTTTCTGGTGGAGGTGGAGGTGGAGTTTTGAAGGTTCGAAGGGGTGTCCGGGTTGTACTGGAAAGACGGAGGAAATTCCAGTTGTACATCTTGTAGGGGAGCGCAGAACCAGTTCAGAGACATTTGGACAAGTTCAGTACCGTGGTGGACATTCAATTTGGTACAGTACCTTTCGGGTTTGGCTCTGGGTCAGTTAAGAACTTTGCTCAAGAGAATGTTGGTGATTCCACTTTGCCACCAATTTTAGCGGGTACAATGTGTTCTTGTAATGCCAATGGACTCATGGAGCGCAGGTACAGTTTTGGAGATGTCTGTAATGCTTTAGAAATCATTGAAGGTGACAATATTGGCAAGGGCCCTTCTAATCCAGCGTGTGGTATAGTTTCTGCTACAGGGTGTGTTTTGACCCTATTTGGTCAACAGTAATTCCTTGGTGGAATTTCGAGAACTCGGGTTTTAGGTTCGGGTGTCGCTTGATGACGCCGGGTGGGGGAATGTGTTATCGTGGAGAGTTTTGGTTACTGTGTTGAAGAGATTGGTTATTCTGATGCAAACGAATTATTTCTCAAGATGGAGAAATTTTAGAGCTTCGTTCATTGCACCGAAATTTGAGTCAAGATGAAAATTGTTAGAGTTGGTGACTCAAATTAGAAAGGAAATCTTGAAGATGCGTGATGGATTTGGATAATCAAATAGTATCCGAAAAATAAGGAAACAAAGTCCTTGTCTCGTTTTTTTCCTTTTTCACATTTAACCTATAATTCTTACATTTTTAGGACTCTTTTAGCGCTAGACTCTTGTGGTATAAATATGAGTCTCCTCTTTCAGTATTGTTGAAGCCAATTATTGTAATTCTCTCCTTTCATTGATGGAATAAAATAACATCGTTTCTCTGCCAATTTATTTCTTTACTTTAATCTTGTTCAGTATTTTTTGTGATCTTGTATTTATACTTCAAATTGGTGTCCATTAAATCTCAATTCTTGCGTTTTGTTTCCACCCGGTCCCAACAAATTATTTCTTCCAGTGAAAATGGCAGAAATTCTAACCCAGAATGGCAGCATAGTGATTCAATAGATACGTGAAAAATATATTCTTTATTGTTAATTATATAAATTTAGGGGATTTCTTTGAAATTAAATAAACAAGACACATGTAAATTTCTTCATATCCGTAAATTAAGCCCACACTATATTATATGTCCAAAATCCAATAACTTTAATTCTTCATTAGTTCACTTTAAATTGGCTTAACCTTAAGATAGTCTTTAATACACAATTAATTTTATGTATACGCCCACATAACAAATTAAAACCCAGCACAACACATGCAAGAACCAAAGTGTTTCATCAAGGTACTCCATTTGAATTTCATTTGATGTGAAATTTACAACTTAGCCCCCAAAAAAATAAAAAATAAAAGCTACAAATCTTATCCAGTATAATTTCTCAACTTTTAGAAATGAAATACTTCAAATCACACATGGATACATGTAAATTCAGTAAAAAACTGAAAGTGCAAATTCTTTTTCGTTCTTTATATTTTTAAATTGTTATAAAAATAGTTGATTTGAAAAAGTAAAGGCTGAAGTGAATTACCTCTTTTTTTTTTTTTTTAATTTTTCACAACGAAACTTTTCAAAAGATAGGACATGATTCTGAAATGCAAAAAAACTTTGTATAATAGTTTCATTTTTTAAAATAATACAGTTTGACCCATCTAACACCTAGAGGGGAGTGAATAGATGATCATGGGAAATTTGAACTATTTAATTAATCATTGCAAGAAGTCAAAGTTATTAATTTATTAAAATGAATTCACATGCACACTATCCTATGTTGAATTGCCGCAGTATAATAAATTGCAGAAAAGTAAATAACATAAGAAAATTGTTGACGAAGAAAACCCCTTGCGGGACTAAAAACTCTGAGTCCAAACCAGTCTGAATTCACTATAAACGAATTAACTTACTGTACTGCCAGACTCAACTAACACTAGTACATTCTGACCTCCTGACTGTAATTTCCCAAAGCCCTCTTGAATTGCATACTCTTGCACCAATTTTCGGTTTCCTGATTTCATCTATATCATGGATTCCTAAGAACTCTTAATTCTCTAACGATCGGAACTCCGGTCTTCAACCTTTGATAGATGCTCTGGAAGTATGGATTTTTGTGTTTAATTTGAAGAATTTTGATGTTTTTCAATTCAACTCAAACATGAAAGGATTGAATGATATAGATGAACTATATGGAGTTTTTCACTATGTTCAAACCAATAAATTTAGTGAAGAGGCGCAATTATTTATAGAGTGGATGTTTTGGATAGTATGTGCCTAATAAAAATTTCAAAAATCGCAAAATAAAGTTTCTCGATACGCTCTATTTTCGCTCAAGCAACAAATGAGCGATAGTGAGTAACAAGCTATCGAAGTTCATCCTGTTTTTGACACTCGAACAACAACTTCGCGGCAAACTAGCGAAAATCTTACAACTTTTCCTTTGTTCCAAAGATGATTCTAATAAATTTTTAACTCATTTAGATAACTTACCACTCAATCTGTTGACTTTTTATTTTTACAATTATATTTTTGTTCACATATTGCCAACAACTTTAAAACCTAACAATTTTGCATAGAGGGGAATTGTCTCCGAGTCAAAGATAATGAGATGTGTTAATGTGGAAAAATTTTCATATCTGATTTTATGACTTTATTTTACTTAATTAAGGCTATGTAACTATTTTGACATGCATGAGACTTGGGGTTCATGACATTATTTGGAGGAGTATGAGCAATCCTTATAAATTAATCTATATTTTCATCTTTATTTAATGTGAGATTTTATCCCTTAATATACCACCACAAGATAGTGGGTTTTTTTATGCACATCAATTTAAAAATTCTTAAGCTCATTTTTTAGTATTATTCGGATCAAATTATTCCTTGGAGATTAACAAGCTTTGATACTATATTACAACTTGATGTTCCATTTTGAAAATCAAGCTCGTTAAATAGAAGTACACAAACCTTTATAAGCTAGTTATATTTTCTCAATCTGGGATTTTATACCATGGGTGACTAAGTAGTAGTTTGTATATCAATTCTTTTTGTTCCTGTTGATTAGGAATTGCTATCAATTAGTTGAATTAATCTACTTTTACAATTTTTGTATATATAATGGATTATATCACTTCACATGGAGGAGGCCCGAATAAAATAAAATATATGCAGCCCCCCTCCATGTGGGGTAGCAAGGGTGTAATGTATTATGTATACAAAAAGTGTACATGTAACATCACTCTAATTAGTTTTGTACATTCTGGTTTTGCAATGTCACCAAGTAAATAATTACTTTTGTTGGAGAAAACTATAACACTAATGTTACATTGGTGGTCCGTTAATTCGGCAACTTTTATTTTCTACACATTCAAATTCATAAGATGAGGGAATTATCCCTGCCAATCTTTTATTTAATATTGTTATCAAACTATTATTTTGGCATCTTTTTGACGACTTTACAAACAATATGGATCTTATAAAACTTGTACTAAACCTTAAATAAGTTTAGTTCACTACCTTCAAATTTCATTGTAGGACGAAGAAGGCCTTTGACATTGTCTTACCAGGGGAGTGTCCATTGTCCAAGAGAAGACAACTATAGCCACCTGTGTGAACACTGCTTTTTTCCAAAATGAAAATTAGAATTTGACTTCCTATTTTTTCTATACACTACGTGTGAACAAAGACTGGGTTCATACGGATTATCATGGTATAAATTATGATAAAATAATGTTGTTTAGATGCATTATTATCGCATGTAAACTTCGAGCTAAACTAGGTATTTAATTTTTAAACATATTTATTATTATGGTCATATGAAAATGAAGAAAAATAGTAAATGAAGAAAAGTTCATTGTAGATTAATAAACTGTAAATTTGAATTATGGATATTTTTCCTATTTTGTATATAATTACATAGAAGATTACTTTTGTTGGCTATGTGATAAATGAAATTTACAACAGGCTTCACATAATGCCCTTGTTTGAGCCCCATTTTTCAACCAAAAAACATTCTTCAACAATGATTTGACATCATTTCAACCACACATTTTTCAATAAAATAATATTATACGCAAATAAAAAAAATTCCTTATTTTTTAATCACATATTTTCCATCAATACACTATTTAAAAATTCATTTTCTTCACAAAAATTGGACTCAAACAAGGGCAATATAATTTCATATTTCATCATAGAAAAATATATAAATATACATTTTTGTCCTTGATATGCATTTGACAATTGACATGATAAGCAGTATACTGTAGCACTTGTCGTTATGTGTTTTTTAATAGTCAAGGATTCCCCTTTTTAAATTATATCAGCAAAAACCACCGTACGGTCCATAACCAGAATATTATAAATAAAAGAATAAGTGATTATTCAAGCTCAATCACTACCAGAGACGAATTGCTTGGAAAGAGGGGTGTGGAACTTTTTTTGGTTCTCCATGTGTTCGATGAATCTAGAGTTAAAAATAATGTAGATAAGATGCCTTCACGTTCAATTTGTCTAGATGATGTGGCATAATGATCTTTATCCATTTGCCCTTGTTTGAGACAATACATATCTTTATTGATTGTAAAAACATGAAAAGAACTTAAAAAATTACTACATCTATACGAGTTTCAAATAACGGTACATCCTTGTGATTGGATTCGGCTCACAATAAATATTTATGGGACGGTCAAGATTGATCGACTTTTACATTATAGGCTGGTCGATGAGCATACTCGATATATAAGCTATTATGGGTAGAGTTTGACCAGCAATAATGCTTGTCATCAACCATTCGAGATTTGAACACCCCATGAGGTCGCTCTTTTCCTTCAAGTGTAGTTTTTTTTCTCTGTCCCGATTTGAAGGCACTTGATCATTATTTTGTTTTTATTCTTCACGGCTTTATTTTTCAGTATGAGCGACAAATATTAATATATGATAATAATAAAATCTTATCTACTTGAATTTTTTTAAGCACGACAAGTCCATTCACTTTGGGCCTTGCTTGACGCCAAGCACCCCCTATGGGTGGGGCTTGCTGAAACTGGTCCCCCTAATTTGGCGCCTCTACCCATCCAGGGCCCATGTGGCCCTGGACGTGTATCTTTATCAATTCACTTTCATCATAAACCAAACTCACGTACGATGTTAAATTTGATGACATGAATTATATCTATTCTGTTGTCGTGTTGAAGTAACTTCTGAAAATGTTAACAATCTTAGGCTATTTACACATACCACCAACCTAATCATTAAGTTATATCTTCAAAAATATTGACATTCAACCATAGATTAATTTTTATTTAATTTTAGAATAAAAAATCATTTAAAATTGAAATGTCCGTGGTAGTGGTACAACATGATAACACTAACATAAATATTTTGTTTAAGGACTAACATTCTATAAATACTTGATTTTTTTTATTTTTTTTTATATATCTTCAATTCATAAAATTATGTCGAACAATGAACCTAATTCATCTTTGGCATAAAACCATACAAATTTAACTCTATTCGTATAGAAATAACAAAATAATTCCATAACAAAAGCTCTCTAACTTTATTATTGAAACCCCCCCCCCAAAAAAAAAGAAAAAAAGAAAGGGCATAATGTTAGAAAATCAAATTAGATCCAAATATAAATTAAATCCTAAGATCAACATTATGCTAAATTACTAGGATTCACAGATTCAGATAATATACCTGTATCAATTGTAAACGATTGCCTACTGTTGCAGAATTACTGCGACAATCGACTACGTACCGATGAATGCAAATGAAGAAGGTGGTTTTGTGATCTTCCTCAACCAAATCTCCTTATTCCTCAATAGGACCGTGATTTCTCTTTTTAATGGGGAGAAGGAAAAAGAGTGTATGATTTGGTATATTGGGGACCATAACCAAAATAACCTTTATATACTACTTAATTAAGGTTCCCATTATCTCTTAATTAGAGTAATATTAGCCGGTATCTACTCACTTAGTTCATATTAATTTGAGTAGTCTATGGGCATACAAAAAATAAACCACTTGATTTTTGCCCATTATATTAAATAGCTAATATAATTGTATTAATATGTTGTCAATATTAATTTAGGAAAATCGTGTTTTTCTAACACATAACTCAAGTGGTAAAAGTGAAATCGTACGTAGAGTAACTTGGATTTGAGTTCAGATGAAAAAAAAAATAGAAAAGAAAAGAAAACACTTAACGAAAAGAAAAAGGACATAACAATTAATTAAAAATCGTACCAGTGCATTCCGCGTTATCCATATTCACTTGCGAGATGATGTCACATGGGATGACGTACACAGTGACAATGAATGGTATATCATAAATATAATTTTAAAATTTTTTGTGTCTAAATTAGTGAAAAATACATTTGAAGTTTGTGTCACCAAGTCCTCACTCTATTATTTTGACAGGTAGTCCTCAATTTTTATTTTTCTAGTACTCGAATTCAAGTTTTGAAAGGGCTGAAAAGGGACCTCTAACAACAATTAACTACTTTAAGGTATGTGAATATTAAGATTTACTTTAAACGGCTTCAGGAAGTATAAAAGAAGGTATTTACTCAATTTCTTTGTCGAATTAGAATTCCTTATAGACACTTTTACCCTCACCTTAACTTTAAAAAATTCCGATCATCCTTAACTTTAATTAAATGTAAAAGAAAAATACCTTGAGGATGTTAGATGTGTTTTTCTTTTTCTTTAATTTTTATACCTTTTCTATTTGATTATCTTTTTATTTAAGCATAGGGGCAATTATTTCTTACATAAATCTGAGTTTATTAAACTAAAATAGTAAAATCGGATTTAAATATTACAAAATGAAAGGTTGAGGTCTGAGTTTACCAAAATATTAGGTTGAGATCTACTCGCTACAGTTTCAATAAGTTGAGGGCCCCATCTGTAATTTTTTCCAATATATTACACCTAACCTCGAGAAATTTTTTCTTTAACAATTTACTATTTAATGTTTCCATAATAATTTAAGCATTTATTTTATTTTAAAATTTCATTGCATGTGCATACTACACAGAATTCCCAAACCCCCACCATTTCTTCCCCTATCCACTGTTAGGAAAAGGCTACTCGACGAGTTGATTCTGGGTCAGGAATCCGCTAACATGCTTCGAGTAATTTTGTGTAAAACTCATATGGATAAAAGGTGTAAATTACAGCTATTTGCTCAAAGCTTGATGGACAAGATCTTGGATTCATTTGACAAGAGTCTTTCAATTCTAAACTGTAACAAGTACAATAAGGTTTCTGATTTTCTGGTGATGGATTCGTCGGATTCTGATGGCCAGAAGTCAGAAGATTCCACGAAGCGTACCAACACTTCAGAGTCCTTAACATTTTCGAAACGCAGGAGAACTTCGAAGACATGGACAAGAGAGACCGTTGCTGCTTCGTTTGCAGATGGCCATGTATGGAGGAAATATGGGCAAAAAGGTATACGCAATGCCGAACATCCAAGGTAATAATGTTGGCACGGAGAAAACGTTAATTTCATCCTTATTTGGTAGTGTTTTTAAAACCCTAGTTAGATTACTATCCTTGTATGTAGTAGGGGTGGACGAAATTATCAAATTAGACGTAGACCAAACCAAATCAGAATTAAATCAAATCGAGCGGTTCGATTCGATTTTACAATAATAATAATAATAATAATAATAATAATAATAATAATAATAATAATAATAATAATAAATTAATTAATGGTTTTGGTTCTTAAAATCGAGAACCATGATTTGGTTTTGATTCTACTTCTAAAACTAAAAACTACAATTGAGAACCGAATTCAATTTTTATAATTTTTTTGTAAATTTTTTTTTTTTTTTCACAAATCAATGAATCACATAAAAAAATTCAACTTTAAAAATTACAAGTGTTAAATGGACAAAACGACACATCTTATCTTATCACCTATCAGACAAAGCAGTTCAACCCTAGATCTAAATTCTAATTCATGTTATCTCCTTTTCAATTTTAGACAAACACTCACACTCCTATACTGCAGCTATCTTTACATTTGTTGAGTGTTTCATGTTTGTTTTGATGATAGATTTTAATTTGCATTTTAACCTTTGAATATTTAATTAATGAAGTTAGAACAAATCAAACCGGAACCAAATGATAATTTAATTAAGAGACCCAGCACAAACCAAAATGGAATCATCATCAAAAATGGAATCATCGATTTTGTTCCATATCTTATAAAAATTACTGGCTCCATCATCAAAAAATTATTGTTTCATGGTTCAAATCAGTTCTCTTCGAATTAGAACCAAATGGAATCAATATCATATCACCCTTAATATGTATAGTAATAGTCCTACAGTTACATTGTTCAATATATAACATGCATTCTATCTTCACTTGAAAATGTCACTGTGGCTCATGGTCAAATAAATCAAAGATCATTTTAGCTCTACATGAATAATATTATTGGATTTTAAGTTCTTATAAGTTGTGAAATTTACAGATTTTGTAAATAATAAGTGGATAACAAGTTGTGCCATATGAAATGTAAGGATAAAAAGTATATGTGACAAGTTTACGTTAAAATTTAACATTTCTCAAAAATGCTAAGCTTTAAATAGTGAAATTTGACATAAACATCACTATTTACGGATTCTTTTATATATTGATGAGATGGCCATAAATTTAATTAAAATTATTATATTTTCTTCACCACTTAAACAATTGTGCTTATACAATGTGGGTTGTTCTCCACAAAAAATAAATATATGAATAAATAAATGTTGGAGAAATTTTTTTATTTGATTGGTGAAGTTTTAACTTAGTCAAATTTTGCCATGTCATCTGTTGATAAACAAATATGTAATTTATGATGTACAAATAGCACAAAATAATATTATACCCTAAACATGCTCCAATGAGTCTTTAGATAGGACCTCCTATTTGTCTTGAAAACTAATGAGCTTAAATTTATGAACAATTCACATATATAAGTTCGAATTGCACGCAAGAAGACGTGTTAAAATTAAATAATCTGCTACAATAATTTAACTTTTAGATGACGTTACATTAAATTTAAAGTATTAACATTTTGTATGTGGACTATCTGCTCATTTCAGATTCATTACTTGCAGGAGCTACTTCAGGTGCACCTACAAGTATGATCAAGGATGCCAAGCAAGAAAACTGGTCCAAAAAATTCAAGATGAGCCACCATTGTATAGGACAACATACCACGAGCACCACACATGTAAGAATCTATATGAAGAATCTCCAATTATTACGGGTAACACTACAAAAGATTCTTCCATCATCTGGAGTTTCGACTCTCAAGAACAGAACTATAAACCTAATGGCAAGATGATTCCAACATTGCCCAAAATGCCGCTGGAAACTAAGGAAAATTTTCAAATTTTGCATCAAAACAAATCATCATCACCATCTGATTACTTCATATCGCCTGATATAACAACATTTGAAAGTTTTGGGCATTTCTCTGATTTTTCATCAGCATTTGATCAAGGGCATGTGATTTGTTCTGATATGGATATAGAAACGATGGTAGGGTCCGTTTTTGATGAATTTCTTGAGTTATGGCAGACTGGCTAGCTTATTTTATTCATTTCTTTCATGTACTTGTTGAATATTTTTCGGAAAATTTCATATTCGCTTGACGTTTCCATCACTCATTTTCATGCGAGGCCAAACTCTTCGTTTTTTCTTACTCTGGAATTTCTAATCCCAAAATTTGAATCCCGCAATCACAAGTTTTGCACAGAGTTCGTATACAGGCTGGAAATCTTGGAAACAAATTAAGCTCACGGAATAAACTTTATGTTGAATTTTGTGAGTATTTATGGAGAAAAAGGTACATGAAATAACTAATATGGTTTTGCCACTTGGAGAAAACGAAATTTACATAATAATCTATTATTCACTTACTCAATCTATTTAATGGCTCATTTTGATAAAACAAAACAAAATCCAAAAGTCCATAACTGGGGTTTCGATGAAACCCTAATTTCATCATCACCTAAATTTCAACGTTATGAAAGCGAAAAGGCATCCAATAAAACCCGACAAGAATATTCCATCAATGTCCATAAAAACATAAAAGAGAATTTCCATCAATGCCCATAAAAACATAAAAGAGAATTTGAAAATATTGTTTACAATGTAAACATAAATCAACCACTATAGATCTCTTATTTTATGGCCTTAGATTCTTTTTTTCCACCATCGATTGCCGTGATTCTCCTCATACCACCCCGATCCACGTAGTTTCATTATCTGAAATTTTTTATTGAAAGAGAGAGTAATAAAATCAAGTGGACACATACATGGATTTCCAGTTTTAATTGAAAATTGAAAGTAAAACTACCTAAGCTATATGTTATGGAGATGCATTTTTTAATTAAAATGAGAGATTGTACAGCTGTAATCTTACAGATGAAGTTATATATCATTTTTCTTTCTCTATGCTTTGAATAGCCTAATTTTGTACCTAAGAAGCAAGGGATGATTCTTTCTCAGCTGCAACTCTTTGTGGGTATTGTTACCTACCGTGTGGCCATGAGACAAATGGCCGATGCAAACGTATATATATAATGTATATAAATATTTAGTTTAGTATTTTATGAATCCCATAAGGATAATTATTTTCATAATTTGTTGAGTACTTAGTTTCCTATTTTATGGGTTTGTACTCTATTAAGTGTAATATTCATATTCATTCTAAATCATCTAATGTATATAAATATTTTTGAAACCTTTTTATTCCTTCACTGAAATACACTTGAAGCATATGCAGACTAGGCAACCTTCGATTTGGAGACTCCACATTTAGCATGTAAGTCACCACCATTATTTGAACTCAAACAAATGAACTCATATTACTAAAAATTTCATAGGACTTACCTTCCTCTCAATCCGAATTGAGCACACTAAGAATGACAAACAACCCAAAATATCCAAAACTTTAACTCATGCATCTGTCGTTTTCAAGAACTCCCTTTTTTGTCTAGAAGTCTAGGGACAGATTTAGAGGCTACCAAGCTAGGGCGACCGTCCTAACTGGATTCGTCGGGGAGAATTTTTTTTTTTTTTTACACTGATAATAGATAGAATTTTTAGATTATACATTTGATAATTCATTTTAATAACAAACATTTCTATTAGCTTAGTTTGTTAGCCCTTTTATTATTGAATTGGAGGTCCCGTATTCGAAACATTTTAAGAGCAATATTTTTATAATTATTATATTTAAACAATTTTTACCAAAACAAATGCAAGAAAAGTGATTCGAACCTATTATCTTCCTTAAATATATTAACCACTTTATCATCATAACACTTACTGATTTTTAGCACATAATGTGATGAAATAATGTATTTTCAACTTTACAGGTTTAATGCAAATAAAAACATTTTAATCGGTGCTTTTTCACTCTTTTTTATTTTATTTTATTTTTTCCCCTCTAATCAATTGATTTGAGAGTTTGGTCAATTAATGGTGAATGAATTTGTAGAAAAATTGGCTTTAGTGTCATAATGAATCTTTCAACAAAACTTATTTAATTAATAAAAAGTTCCACTTTTCGTTTACAAAAAATTGATTGCGAGAAAGTGGAATCATACAAGTACATAAAATTAATTTAAGCAAATAAATAATTTCAATTTTGTTAGTATAATAACATTTGTTTAATTAACTTTAATTGTAAACTGAATATTGGCATTTTGTTAATATATAGTGCCTATTTAATTGAAAAATAAATTAAGGCATTTTGCATATTGCGGAAGGATTTTTTTCATCCAAAATAAAAGTTCGTACATAGTCCTAGTGGTGTATCTAGTTCTTCTAGTTTTAATCCGTACATTTTTTTGAATGTTATTTAATTAAATATTAATAAACAACCTCGTTATCACGGACGTTGGCCATCGATAGTAAACTTTCAACGCTCGCAATCTGTCCTAGCTGAGATTGGATTCTGGATTCGCCCCGGGAACAATACACCTAATTAGTGTTGAGAACACTACTCTTGCTTGAACACCTGGTTCCTTTTTTTTTGCCCAGATATTTTTCCTGTTCAATCTGGAGGTGCTTTTAATGAGGCATCAGTCTAACTGAATTAAATTACGATGTTTAACTATGAAAGAAAAAGTCCCTTGCAGAAATGGACGATGGATAGGAAAAATGGTATGCTGAAAATTAAAAATTGAAGAGGTGGTCCATGACTCCTCTTAAGCGTGGTAAAAGTGTGCACCGTGTGCTGCTAAAATTGGCCTGAAATTGTGTTCTTGAAATACAGCTTTATTACGCCAGATGATGACACGTGGCGAATGGCTGTCGGTTGTATCTGGCTTTTGGATTCTTCTGCGGTTTAATACACTTCAATTGGCTTTTAGTTCATTGACTTGGTTGTAATTCTGGCTTTTGGTTTGAGAGAGAACACCTCTTCAGTTTAGGGTTTCCTCTTCTCTCAAAAATCTCATTCGAGATACTCAAATTTTCTAATCACTTTTCTAATCTAGATTGATTCTTAGTGAAATCTATGGAGGAAATATTGTTCTTCGTGTCGTAATATTTAGATTAGAGTTTGAGTGTGTTCTTGCTAAAGAGTAACTCAATTGATCACAACTAAGAAAAAGATAAGTCTACTGTCTTGAACATCTTTTCAACCTTGACAATCATTTTGGGCTGTTATAGTGCAAATGAGCAATATCCACTTTTTGTGGATGCTCAATAAAGATTAGGTGTTAGAAGCGATTACCGAACCTCTGGGACTTAAAGCCAAAAAATCCTTGCACTCATATTTTGATTTTCTGCAATTTTATATTTCTGCACTTTGATAAGATTAATTGTGTGTTCGTTTAGTTTTGGGCATTCAGTTGTATAAGAACTTGGGTCTTTGAACATGATAATAAATCATCAAGAAAATCATAAAACTTTGTCGGATCTTGAATTTTGTGGACTTATCTTCGAGAAAAATCAGAAGAAATTGATTTTATAAACTTGCTTAGTGAAATCTTTTAATTTTTATAACTTTACTTTGTGTAGTTAGGATATACATCTTCTTAGGGGTGGACGCGGGTCGGTTCGATTCGGTTCGGTTCTAAAGCGGTTCTCTTTAGAATCGAACCGAACCAAACTTTTCGGGTATCTAATAAATGAAACCGTCGGGTCCAAATATAATTATGGAACCGTTCGGGTTCGACTCCATTCGGTTCCGTTCCGTTCTGTACTATAATTAAATTTTTTAACATTTATAACAACTTTATATAAATACGACTAATGATACATTCAGTGGTTTTGGAATGTCAGAACTAGTAAACTACCTTGTTCAAATGATTGCTATGATCAAAGTTTCGATCGGCGAAAGTCACGGCTTTGATCGGAGGTCAGAGTGTCGGCCGACGATTGTATAGGTTTTGGAATATTAGCGAGGCTGCGAGAGTGAGTGCGAGAGTCGAGACAACGTTATGCACTTTATTGTAGGTGTTTAGGGTTATTTAGTGGATTTGATCTTGTTTGGCTAAGAAATGAAACAATAAAATGGGTAATTGGGCCAAAAATTAAAAAATTAGAAATGAAACAAATTATTGGGCCAAAATTTGGATTCAGAAATTATTTATTTTGTTAATTTGTTTAGAAAAAATTAAAATTAAAATAATTTGATTTACTCAAAATAAAAAAAAAATTAGAAAGATTCTGTTCTTATTCGGTTCTTCAGTTCTTGGTCTAGAACCGAGAACCGAACCGTACTCGTCGATTCTCAATTCAGATACCCGTTCGAGTATTTAATTTGACAAGAATCGTCGGGTTCGGATCTGTTCGGTTCGGTTTGGGAGATTTGCCCAGCCGTACATCTTCTAGAAATTAATCTTTGTCCAAAGGCTTGTATGAGGCCTTGAAAATTTGAGATAAATCCAGTAGAAGTGTTTATATAACTAACCAAATTTTAATATTTAAGTTGTTACTAAAAGTTTCATTCAATAATTAAATAAACGTATCAAACATCCCAACATGAATTTTTTTTTGCTCCATCAATAAAATATATGGAGAACATAACCAAATAAAATATATTGTAGATAAATGCTAGAAATCATGCATATCACATTCATTAGATAAATAATGGAATGTTAATTCCACTAATATAGCTTGATACAGATTAAAATTTAATACCCAATAAATTATATCTTAAATTTCTATATAAAAATCCTTATGAAATAAATTAAGATAATGCTGGATTAAAAATGTCTCGTTACACTGGATTATTTTATTTGAGTTCTATAAATCTTTGCACCATGACTACACCTCATAGTCCGCCAACCAACGACTTGTTGTAACCTGTGAGGAGTAGAGAAAAATTGTGAATACATGGAAAATACTCAATAAGAAACGAAAATAATGGTGTAATTTCGAATAAAAATATTTAAATCTATGTGTCAAAATATTGTACCGTCATTATATTTTTAAAAATCAGTAAGAGCTCAATAAACATCAAATCTTGGCACCGAATGGCCATACCATACATACCATTTCATATCTTAAAACTTTCATAAGCATAATAATTCAACAATATAGAAATAAACAATTTAAATGGGATAAAA